GAATATTGCTTCCGAATACCCTTACTTAATCGAAATTGCCTATCATCGAATGTGTACAGCACATTATTAAGCATGGAAATGTCCCCAAAATACTTTCGCGTTTGTCGAATCCCACGCGATGTTTGACGCGACTACGACGCTATGACCTTTGTTTGTCCTGTTTTTACGTTCGATTTCACGCATAACGCGTGATTCTCGCAGTGAACGGAAAATGGTCTATTGTGTATCGTATTGAAAGTAATTAAATGAATAGAGAATAACACATTTTCTTCAATATCACTGTCCCTCCCTTCAATATCACTGTCCCTCCCTTCAATATCACTGTCCCTCCCTTCAATATCACTGTCCCTCCCTTCAATATCACTGTCCCTCCCTTCAATATCACTGTCCCTCCCTTCAATATCACTGTCCCTCCCTTCAATATCACCGTCCCTCCCTTCAATATCACCGTCCCTCCCTTCAATATCACTGTCCCTCCCTTCAATATCACTGTCCCTCCCTTCAATATCACTGTCCCTCCCTTCAATATCATTGTCCCTCCCTTCAATATCACAGTCCCTCCCTTCAATATCACAGTCGTTTAGGGGACTGTTTCTCTCGCCACACGAATCTATGCTGTCATGTTACTGTTGCCCGGTTTAAGTGAGGTTGACTTCTTTCCCCATGAAGTCGACGCGAGACCGACAGAACAAGGGACACTGAATTATTCAAGTTTAGTGGAAAAGTTGACTGTATACTTGAGTTCTAAATTACATCGTTATGTCACATGGTTCGACATCGGTCACCCGCAGGCACGCGGACGAGGATAGCCTTGCTTACAGTTCCTTGTTTATTTATTCAATAAAATAATATCTTATGGGAGTGTAACTCGGCTTTCGTCATTTATACACTCCCATAGCATATTATTTAACAAAAAAAATAAACAAGGAACTATAAGCTATTCTAGGACGAGGCCAAAAATGACAACTAACGGTTATCTGAGAGAAATCTAGTTTACACACAGACTCAAGTTAATGCGTTGCACGAAGTCGACCCTTTCACCATAAAGTTATTTAGATTCAGCTTTTACTATCGAACACACGGGCGGATCGAAACGATCACTCGGCGTAGTCATCAATATCGGTTACATTGAATGTAAAGTAATATTATTATGATTGTTTTCCCGATAAGCACTGGGTGATATTCACAATAGTGCAACAGTTTTTTTCTCGGTGTTTATATAAAAAGCAATGGCGCCCAGAATACCTGCAGCTGACATAGTAATATTCACGCAGAATCAGTGCAAACTTAAGCTTGGGAGAGGATATCGTTCTGGCAAACCTTGTTAGTGCAAACCGTGGTTCTCTTCCCGTGACCAAGTTTCAGTAAAAATCACGGTCCGGGAGAACAAATTTCCCATAAACGCATCCTTGTAACATATTTTCAAAAAAAACTTATTTACATAGTATATTTTATTTGAATTGAAATAACGCAATGAATACATAATGTGTGGAAAACTGAAAATCACGATCAGATGAACCTAACATTTTTACGTTACACACATTATATCAACACAGCACAGTTACGACTCTTTTGATTCATTAAAATTTCAAAAAGTACCCCCTGGCCATTGAAATATGTCAAAAATAAATTACAAAATTATACCTTTTACCTCGAAAATGTTAAAATGGAATGCATTAAACAATACACGCAACGGCTAAGCAAGCTCATCAGGAATGAACTCGTCTAGGTAACGTTCACTCTGAAAAAATATATTTTGTGACTATAGCGGGAAAGATAATCGGAGTGTATGCATGTCTAATTTAGAAAGGTTTATGTGTAAACTCATATTGATTTTTCTTCGAAAAAAACTGTAAATGTATAACGAAAGTTGAACATTACATCTCGACATTCAAGATGATCGAACATAAGATCTAATAAGTAACCCCTCACCAAATGATGCAAATAAAAGACAGAAACATACGAAGTCTGTTATAAAAAGCGTTCTTCAATCTTCATTTGAAAAGTAAATAATAACAGGGTTCGAGAGTGTAGTTCTCTGTATATTGGCAAATACCGGTAATGTACCTGTGGACTGAATGGATATTTATTCCTGGAGTATTGTATTACTAAATAGGTCACCCGTAGCCGCCTGTCATTGCGTGTACTTGGTTGACTTAGTCGAAATCGAGATGCCTTGCTCATCAGAATAAAGCCATGTTTGAATCTCATCATTCAGGGAGATTGCCATACAACATGATGGCTGGTAAAGCTAGCGTCAGCAATACAATACTAAGAACAAACATCAGATTGTTGTACCAACGTGAATTCTTTCCCCGCGCCAGTTTCACTCCACAACACTTACAAGCGCCAATAAGACTGTCCTCATCATACGGGCCATACGTTACGTCCATGTATCCGACAACGAAGAGCACGAATCCAAAGACGACACTCACGACAATACACAAAGAGAGAAACACCATCGCGAAGTAGAATGTCGCTCCTTGGTTGCCATCATTTGCCAAAAGTATGTGAATCAAAAGTGTGATGAAAGTCAATAATAAAATAATGACCAGAATCCCAACAGTGGCGGTTTTTGCCGAAGTGTAGGCTTTCACCTCGTATTTCTGAAAACAAAAATACGACAAAACATATAACAATTTGTTCTTGAAAATGGTAAATGATTTTTACTTAGTCAAGAAACAGTGTACTGAAATAAAACATTGTGTACATTTAGCGTGACTTCTTAAGTTACTGTAGTTTATTCTGTGAGGTCGAAGTCTCTTATAATTGAAAATTCTCCAATATATATTTCTACTAAATTGATATATTTAACTACCAATCCAGTAAGAAGTACCATGACACTGCTACGAGAAGCAATATTTCATAGGGATAGTTTCCGCACAATTTACAAATGTTGATGCCTGAAATGTTGGCGAAAATCACTGCTGTATATGTGTTTGCGTATTTGCGTAGTCATGCACAGCCTTCATTTGGTTAAAAATATCGACTGCCTTACGCTTAGGTGACTTACCGGTCTATCTGGCTCCCCTTCACATACCCACTCTTTGCTAGGATCTAGTCGTGATGTTGGAAATATACCACCTGCCACCGGCCCAACCAGTGTGTTGCAGGAATAACATTTTAGATACAAAGTTTTCGGATCAAGACCAAATAATTTACCCAAAGTTTTACGATTTAGTTGATTGCCATTTAACCTAACTCGCCCCTCCATTCGATATGGACCACCGGCATGCCACACTCCTTGAATCTCGCGGTATTCATCGTCACTGTTCGTTGGACGTGCATACTGCGTCGTTTCGTGCTCAATTGTATCTTGGTCCGTAGCGGGACGGACTGAGATTCTGCGACTATGTGGCACAAAAGATGGCTGTCTTGTTAATTCTGTTGTTCGTTGTGTTTCCACTGTTGCTTCAGCGTCCATTGCTGTTCAGGCCATTGGGCATATAGAGCTGACAACTAAGCCCGTTGAACTAAAGTTACAATTATGCCACTATTGTGCAACTATGCCACTTGAACCATGGCGACAGTACCAACAACAAAGCTGGAGTGAACTTTGCACAATCCGTGCAAATGATAAACTTTTAATGTTTCCGTATTGTGTGGATGCCGTACAAGCTTAACAGGCGTATTTATTTAGTCATTAGGTGGTAGATTGAATGTAACTTAATACACTACGGCGACTAGAACAAAGTTAGGCTATTACCCACATTTTCTCACCATAAGGTTATATGACACATTGTATTTCCCATGTAATTCTTGACAGTAATTCTAATAAAACTGATTTTTTTTATCAACAAACCATAATTGCTCATAATCTGGATCATGGTGTAATGGGTCTTCATACGAAATGTAATAAATACAAAACCTTTGAGTTAAGAATGCATTATACTCGTTTGGGCACAGGTTAATCAAACATTTTGTACTCTATAGAAATCATATATATATATTTAATTATTCTATGAACAACATACATATTCGAACGGATTATTTGTAGCGGCGAATGAGACAAAGTGGCGTGTCCAAGTGTCCTTGGTGTAATCTTTGTTCATCGTATAAGAGTGAAATGCCTTATTCTGCTATACTTCTATTGTTCGACAGCTAAAGAAACTACATAATCTGACAGATCCAAGGTACTTGCATATCATATATCGGAGCCATTGGAGTGGTACCCCTCCAACCAAGGGTACCATTTCAAGCACAGTGTGCAAGGGTGTGTGGCGCAATCATGCCCGACCCCACCCACTACAAGACTACTGTTTTTAGAAATTACATACACATATATATATATAGAACAGATCAGAGTTAAAAATACGCGCGGCCCTATCTGTTGGAAAACAACATAGAGCCAGAGATGGTTCTCGAATAACAGTTTTCAGACGTTTTTCTCAAGATTATTTGACCATTTCCCGTATCTTTCACATTTGAAAAAAAATCAAACCCACTTCAAATCTAGACCATAAACATGTCAGTATTGATAGCACTTATATACCAACTGATGTGAAAATATATCCAGTCTGGCGGCACATGCCCGTACAGTTATACTTTTTTTTTCATTGATATGTAACAAATATTCGTATTTCGTTAATGCATTTTTTTGGTCAAAAACAACCCACATATGAATCTTTAAATTACATTTGCTGTAGTAGCTCAATGATATAAATGTCGCTCATCGATTCATTTTTTTAAAGTTTCATATAATTTCCCATGTTAAACATGGAGCAAATAATAAGACCATGTTGATCGAGTCCAGTAGAATATCGATTGTATATGCTGATATATCTACGTTTTTACTCAACGATGTACTCCAAAATAATATCAGTGTTTCGACGTCGTGCGTTTTACACACACAGCATATTTAAAATAATACACACTGTATCCTATGGAACTGAGACATAAAACAACAAAAAACACGATAACAATATTTATGCTGAAAATATGTTTAATTACAATATCTATATATATTACTAATTTACAAGTTAGATCAAGTGTTGATAGTTTTATTGAACTTCATCTGGGATAACTGCTAGGTCTAACTCATCAGCAACTTGTGGCGAGAACGGATTGTACGAACACGCTTCGCATTCACATTTCTCGATAACAACGTATTCATATGATTGTTGAAATTCGGTTCCATCTCCATTTTGACACACAAGTTCCATCTCCGCTTTTCTCATTTCTATTGGCTTACAACATTTACAGTCGGCTTGTATGTAGTCTCCAGTAAACATAACAGTAGCATTGGATATACATCGTCCTGCACAATACGTCTTGGGTACCATCACTGGCTTAACAGTCACACAACCATCCACTTGAATTTCTACTTCTTCTGTACTGTGTCGACAGTTTTCAGAACTACTGGGCTCTGTCAGGTCAAAATATAAACAAACAAAATTAGATGTGCATCGTACGTACGGTCTCACGTTTGTACAGTGATTGCGCATGACAACACTCTTAAACATAACATTCGGAACGCCGTTTTGGCTTCATTGTCCCCCATGCGGCTTGTAGTCTGCGTTTCAATCTCAGTCCGAGTTCAATGTACAGGCACACGATGGTCAGGATAACCGACGCTCAGAACTTTATCGTGTTCTTGTAGAACTTCACTGATTTATATACAGAGAAATGTCGGTTATCAACGATTTCCGTCAAAGCTGCGGGACACTGCCGCTGATTACACCTTCTGGCCGTTACTGCAAGTTCTAATACCTTCTGAAGATATTCGTCATGTGACTTCGGACATAAATTTGCTAGTCAGTTTTTATAGCTTTTATAATTGCTTAAACAAGCTATTAGGCCTTTCTTAAGGTCCGATCGAGTAAGAAACGAGGGCTCGGAATTTGTATCACGCCATCGGTGGGGTGTGCTCGTGTGGTGCGTTCCTTTATGCAAATTTCGAATACGTCACTGATATAAATGCTCCGAGATTATTTTCTGTTTCCATCGATCGGGTTGAGAGATCAATGAGGGTCGGCAAGGGGTGTTTTTGTAAGCTGTAATTAATTGATTTTATTTTCGTGATATTGTAATTTAAATAAATAAAAAACATAAATTCGTAGGCATGGGCAAGGCGTAAAATGTAATCAACTATTGTATTCGTCCGTAATTTGTACAAGGATATTATTTTTTGTAAGCGAATAAAGCATTTTCCAAATTAAATGTCGTAATTCGTACGCAATTTTCAATTGTGATTCTTTAACACAAATTATTAACAATATTATAAAAATGTAAAATGTAATTTGCTCTATCTGTAAAGTGTAAAAACCTATTTTT